TATTGTGCAATTAAAAGAAAACGAAATAATTAAATAATAAAAACATTTTCTGGCAAGATCTTAATGTAGAAATGTGTTTTCAAAACCCATATTTTATTTCTATCATAAATTAATCAATTCGAAAATTGTAAATTGAAACGATTATAAATTAGTTTAAAAGTTATTCCAATTATATTGTTGAGCCGACTTTAATTCTAGTTTCGCTCAGCAGTCATTTGGCAATTCTTTTTTCTTAGTGGCTAATTTAAATTAGATATATTGAAGCAGTAAAATATTTAAACCTATTGTCGAGCCACGATTTAACTACCCTATGATCTTGCGACTTTAAAGCACTAGCTTACAATCCTATGTATCATTCATATATACGAATACATGTGTGGAATTACAACTCTTTTGTCTGCCCACAACCCCAAGCTTCATGACATTTATCGAAAGCGGTCCAAGCTATCTCTGTGCCCTCTGTACTTCATAATGCTAATTATTTTGGAATAGCGGCTCCAGCACAACAGCTCTTCACTGGCCGGTTCATTCACAGCATGGATTGCATCCTACTGAGTCCTGCGGCTGGCCAGGCTGGTGCTCTTCAAACTCTACCACAAAATTACACAGCAAGAAATTGGGATGGCGAACATGTGCTTGCTCACAATAGTAGCAATTAAGTAGCCGTGCCAGCTTTGGCCGAGACAGCAGTATTTATTTATTTATTTATTGTTAATTACCTCCAAGTGGAACAAGTGGAGTTACTTATATGTTAAAGCACTAGCCTCTTTAAGAACTCTCTCTCGTACTATATTAGTTAGTTTTTAATGCGTTTGTATTGAAAGTTGAGACAAAGAATAATAAAAAAAGAAAACTTAATTTGTTTCCAATGACATAAAAGAAAAATAAATTATTCTAAGAATAAATAATAAAAATCAAAATTAAGTATTTGCTGATCGGAATTTGGTTTGTTTGAATGAGCATTTAATAAAGAATTAAGCTTAATATGATCTGAACTGCATGCAATCTTGGTGCATAGTAAACCGCTTGTACCTCAATTGCTCTAAATGTAAGTTCATGACCTTTCATCGAACTTTGCCCCTCTTAGTCTCATATACGATTGACAATGTGCCATTGCAGCGTATATCGACTGTTGAAGACCTTGGGGTTCTTTTTGATTCCAAATTGAACTTCAATCTTCACATTTCTAGCATTGTAAATAAAGCTAAGGGTGTACTTGGATTCATTAAACGATGGTCCAAGGAATTTACTGATCCTTATACTACCAAACTTCTGTACACGTCTCTAGTACGCCCTGTGCTTGAATACTGCTCTTGTGTCTGGTGTCCACAGTATAGAAAGTATCAGGAGCGTATTGAATCTGTTCAGAAGCAATTCTTGCTTTTTGCTTTACGTGGACTTAACTGGGATCCTAATGTTTTGATGCCATCGTATTCAAGTAGACTATTACTTATAAACCTTCCATCTTTAGAAAATCGTAGGACTGTTCTTGGAATAGTTTTTCTCCACAAGTTAGTTATCGGCGAGGTTGACTCCTCTGCCCTCTTAGGTCGCCTTAATTTTTCAGTTCCTTGTAGACCAACAAGGAATTATTTGCCGTTCATATTGGCTAGATGCACAACCGATTACGCTTTGCACAATCGTTTTCGGGTCATTTGCAGTAATTATAATGATCTTTCACACTTACTTTCGACAGAACTCTCTCTCTGTTCTGTAAAGATTATTCTTTATAATTATCTTCGGGAAAATCTCTGACCACTTCTGCTGTGAGTCGGGGCATAGCTAGCCGGACTGGCATTTAAATTTTCCCCCACCGGGTTGGAGATTTACCTCTTTCTCTTTCTCTGTCTTTGTATCTCTCTTTCCCCCTTATTTTTTTTCTTTTTCCTCTTCCTCTTTTTACACCTTACTTTTTCTAATTAGTTCTTAAGTAGAATTAATTCTTCTCTTCTACTTGCTATTCGTTTAGTTTGTTAGGTCTATAATGTCTCTGACCACATTTGGCTGTGAATCGGGGCATAGCTGGCCAACTGGCAAATAAAATTCCCCCAACGTGTCGGAGGCATTAATAGACGTCATTGTATAGCTCTCCCTTAGGCTTTCTTATCTTTTAAGTTTAACTTATAATGTAATACTATAAATATCTTTATTTTACTTTCTAATATTATCAATTATTTATTGACAGTAAATTTGTTGATTTTTTTATAAAAATAAAAAATAAAAAATAAAATGTACTATTTATTAAATCAATCTATATATTGTAAATATGAATAAACTTGAATAAACATAAACCATCAAAATGAGGAATTTGAATTAATAATCATTTTGAGGACAGCTTAAATAGGTTGTGTAGCATGAATCCTTTTTCCCCATCTAGGACTGTAGAGCCAGCATTCTAGTTTCTATTTAACGCTTTCGAACATAGGTGCCAGTACTGTTTGTATTGTGGTAGACGTTTTGTTGGGGCGAGAGATTTAGAGCTCGTGTCCCACTGCCGTCATCGCTGTCAGCAAACAACTATGCAATTTAGTTTAAAGAGCTTAAGAATTGACAAGTTGCAGCGTCATCGTCACACACTCGCACACCCACGCAAAATGTGTGTGTGTGTGTGTGTGGCAGCAATTGCTGCTGAAGCTGCAGACTGACATTGAAGCTGACTTGAGGCGAGCAACCAACACTTTGCAAGACTAGAGCGCAATTTAAATTTCAGTTATGCATATTTTGGGGCATATTCAATTTCCGTTGTTGCATCGAAGCGACTAAACAAAAGCGTTGACTGAACTCGCCTGCAATGGCGATATTTGACTTGGCTGGCGGCCGGAAGTGCGCAGCGCAGAAAAATAAAAAGAACCAACAAAAAATAGTAACGACGCCATATTATTTCAGACGAAACCGTTCTATGGCTTTGGAATGGGTCCGTCTGTCAGCATATTTTTGTAGGTATGCTGGCATGTGTGTGTGAGTGTAGGTGTATGCACATATGTGTGTGAGTGTAGGTGTATGTGTGGCATACCAACGAGTCGCCTGCATACATTTGCATTTGATTTTTATTTACATGGCTGCCCGTCAGCAAAACTTTGCTGCCACAATGCCGGCAGCAAAAAGTGCAACCTGGCCAAAGCAATTCCAATTGAGTCCCACTTTCCGCACTCTGCCTTGGCCATTTTTCAGAGCGCTTAACTGGGTCAAGTTCGAGAGGTTTATAAGCCCATCACGGCACACTTATCTATCTAAATTAAAATGACATTAAAAGCTGCCATCTCATGCCACTAGCCGCACTCAAACTCCGCCTCCTCTTCCCCGCTCATTATCGACAAAGTGCAGCCGCATCTAAAGCCTTAGCATGACAGTCACTTTTTGTAATGACTTTTCATCCAGCAGGTGCGCGGAGCAGAAAAAGGAGAGTGGTAAGTGGAAAGTGGTGAGTAGGGAGCGTGACTTGTGGCGTGGAGGGGTGTTTCATTGAATTGATGGAAATTAGCGCAAGTGTTGACACCAAAAGCGCTGCACACAAAGTCACGTGCGCGGCAGTTGGCCGAATGGTTTTAGAATTGCAGTTCGCCACGAACTTGAACCAAAACAGAACATCGAAGATTCTACACTCTTGCTAATTAGACGTTGATGTAAAATATGTGAACACATCTAAAAAAAATTAATTTGAATATAAACTGACTAAAATATTGAAACATACTCCACATAGAACCAACTACAAAATGGGACATTTGCCTTTTGGGAAGTTTAATAATTTCTAAAAAAAGAGGTCCCGGATGATAGTCTAATTAAAATAAATATTAATGCTAGCTAGACGATCTCACACCTGCGTTAAATCCTGCTGCTTTTTTTGGCTGTGGTGTTCCCAGAAATACCAGCCTAAGCCATTCGTTTATTAGATACTTTCTTTGTCTTTTTCTTTTTTCCTCCCTTAATTTACATATTGTTTTCTAATTTGTAACCTATAAGGTCTCAGACAACACTCCACAAACGGGTCGTATTGTTGAATTGTTTTCTTTTTAACAGTTTTTAGTTTCTCGTTTAGTTTAGTTATGCAGCCTAAACTTTATGAGTTCAATAGCTTTGTATTGAAAATGAAGACAAGCTACAAAATTGGGGGTTTATAATGCGTTTTTATTCAAATGAATACCATTTGTATTACTACAAAATGTAAACGAAACAAATGGACCGTTTTATAGTGTATACAGCAGAGAGCTGCACGAGTGCCTGTGGCTGTGTGTCGATGGTGATGATGGCTTGCGTGTAAGTTATTATTATCACCAGCGGCGAGGTTAATGAAGTGCCAGAGTAGCGACTGAATGCCGGTACCCCCTTACCAGCCCATACCGTCTCGTACCGCCCCCCTAATATGCACATTCTAATTGCCTTTCCCACAATATGAAAACTCAGATGGTGAAAGGAGTTGATGTCGCTAGTAAGTACTCGAAGCCCTTGTGCTTTTGTTGCACGTGGTGTTGTTGCAGTCGCAGTCGCAGTGTCAGTCGCTTTTAACGGTTATTAAATGTAATTTGAGTGCTGCCACAGCATGCGACATGGGGCATGCGGCATGGGGCATGCGGCATGGAGCAGGCAACATGTGACATGTAACTGCTGCACGTTGCCAAAAGTGCAAAGTGCAGTGCCGCACGTTTTGCTTGTCGATGCGCCAGCGAACTCTCGATCTTTCTCTTCCTCTCGCTCTCTTGCTCGATCTTTTGCGCTCTTAGCTTTAGGCCAAGTTTGAAAACTGGTTTGATCGCTCACGCGCGTTTTAGACCAGTTTGCATATTTGTTAGACCTTTTTATTTAGCACTCAGGCACAGACACAGGTGCGCTTTCAGTTCGAGTTGAAACCCCAACGCGATCGTTTCAAAGACGCGCGATGATACATTAAAATAAAATCCAAGGTATAGCCAAAGCAACAACAAAAAGCATTAGAGTGACGCCCAAAAAAAAAAAATAATAATAATAATAATAAAATACAAAAGCAAAAAACTCGAAAAGAACAGCGCGCAATACGTTCTTCAACTATTTTTAGCGGATTACGTGAGTGTCGTCGCTTCAATTTTTCGAGTCGCTGGCTTCTGTGAATTTGTGATTTTGTGAAACCGCGAATCAAAGTGCCTTGCAATTAGAAATTAGTATGAAAAGTCTAAAAACTGGAATGCAAAAGCATTCTTTAATCTAACCTGCCCTTTCTGTGTGTGTGTGTGTGTGTGTTTGTGTGTGTGAGTCGCATAACTTAGCTTGCCACAAAAGCTGTTGCCTTTTATGGCGCATTGTTTGTTGCTTACTTATACACACATATCCGCACTAACATATATATCAAGATTATGCTTGATTTCATTATGGCGCTGGAAACGGCCCTACTTAACCCAAACGGACCGAGAGACAGAATGGAGAGACAGTCTGGCAGATAGACAGACATTCAGACAGGCGATCAGACATTGAGACTATCTGCCAGTTGTTGGAAATGCAATTTGCAGTTCAGACGCCTAAACAAACCAGATACCAGATGCCATAGCCCACTATCTCGCCGTCTTGCTCTCCCTCTCTCTCTCTCTCTCTCTCTCTGTCGATCGATCTCACAATTGTAAGTCGAGCTGTTAGTTAGTTGTTTGTAAAAAGTGTTGTTGTTTTGCGTGTGAAAATCTACAACAACGCCTTTCATTTCATTCATGAGCCAAGCCAACGAATGGCCGGCTGCTGTGCCTCACGATTATATCATGCGATCATTACATATCAACCAACATAGGCGGAAGACATACCTCCACGTGTAAGCCACGCAAAAATTCATAACTATGTGAAACTAATTGGTGCAGGTTTATGTAAATAACACTGCAAGATAGTACAAAAGTCTTCAATTGAAATATATACATACATATAACATTATGATTGAAGAGCTGGCATGGCTTACAATAAGGACGTACGCATTCCATTTTCTTGTTCAAACAACTAAAGATTGATAGCTGATTGAAGTTATTCGAAAATGTTTCAATTAGCCAAAAATTGCATTCATAATAGAACATGATAGTGATTAATGCCTCGATTAGGGCAACGTCTCTGATGACGGATGAATGTGATTTGAAATCATTTCCGACATAATGCTCATGATTGATGCTCCAATTAGAACAATGTCTACCAACGATTGGGTATGGAATGTTTCTTTTTATTTATGTTAAAATTATTTATATTTTAGCGTGACTGATACCAAAATATAGAGTACAGAAATAAAATATTCAATATTGATGATTGATTTAGTAATAATTTTGCAGTCATCTTAGATACGTGCTTCAAATAGTGTTCAGTTCTTTAGCTATTTTAGCATTTGATACAATTTTGTTAGTATTTCTAAAACAACTTTATAAACTAGTTTGCAAATTTAATTGAAATTTGAGTATCTTTTTAAAATTTATTAAGAGCTTCAGTCGCTTATGCGACGATAGCCACACTATAGTACTCATGACAACTACATACTATATAATTAGTGAGGCATGATAAAAAATTGAGTGAAAATAAAAATATTTCTTTGTAATTATTTCCACGCAAATATAAATTTAACAATTCCAAATATTGAGATATTTCTACATATATGTTGTGTATAGCATGCCTTTGCCTTCGTTTCGCTTCTTTTTTTCGCTGTTTTGGCCAGAACAAGCAACAATCTGGTTGGCTTTTTGGCCATGTGCAGCCCACTTGTGTGAGATTTTGAATTACACTCACACACATACACACACACACAGTCACATTCAGATGACACATTGCAACGCCAACGTAAAGAAAAACAATTTGCATTTACATATGCAGTTGTTGCCCACACGTTGTTGCCGCAATACGTTTCTTAGTGCTCTTTTTTTTACCACTGCGCAGTGCCAGTCCAGTGAAGTGTACTGAAAAGTGTACAAGAGAAAAATCACGGATACTACAACAGCAGCAGCAGCAGCAGCAACAACAACAACAACTGCAACAACAACAACTGCAACAAGCTAACAACCTGTCGTTCGAAAAGCGTTAACAATAAATAAACGAAACAATAGCAGCCGAGCAAATAATAACAATAACAACAATTGCAACAACGGCGACAACATTGGCGGCGTCAATGTGGCACAAAGCCAACTGAACAACAACAGCAACAACAGCAGCAACAACAACAACAACACACGGCTTTATAACAATGACGAGAGAAGGTAAGCCAGTTTTTAGCCAAACAAACACAATCGCACATCGTAAAGCAACAACCAACCCACAGTCGTGCGTTGGCATATATTATATTATACGAATACATATGTACACCAATATACTCGTATAGAATACATTTGTACAGGTATATAGCCCGTATATTGCTCTGATCGCATTTATGACCCAGCCAGCGAGCCAACTTTGTATTAAAAATGTGTGAACATGAACGCCAAAATAGCGCACTCAACGCATTTATAGCCAAACACGAACTTCTAATTACCGACCAGAAATATTTGTTAAATGACTTCTCTGTTTGCTTGTTTGTGTGTGTGTGTGTGTGTCTGTAATTATTAAAATCAGCAATACGCAGTCAAATACGGTATGGGATCGTTTCCGCGATGTTTGAAGTTTGCACAACACACAAGGCGTTGTTACGATATGGCCAAAGGCATTTTGGGTGTGGGCAGCTGTTGACCGATGTGGGCTTTAAGCACACCAGCCGAGTGGCTGTTAAACTTCACTCGATTACGTAGTGACTGACCCTGAAAACCGAACGCGATATTTTCACACTAGGCGGCAGAAGTGTTGGGACAAGTTTGTGTGGCTTATAGCTAGCATGTGCTTCAAATTGCTAGCTACCTTTAAGACAAATTTTATATTCTCTGCATGTCTAATCATAGTTTTATTGAAATAATAATAATGAGTTTTACAGTTGTAGATAATTTTAAATATTTTTGAAAATATCAATTATCTTGATCTTCTAAATGTATATATATATATATATATTCATTTTAGAATGGTTTTTTGAAATTTTGAACCAGATTTGAATTGAAAATTCAGATTTCTAACTCTAATCATGCATATACTTTCGAAAAAAAAATATTAAAAATATTATAAATATCAATGATCTTCACCTTCTATATCTGTGCATTATTTTCAGAATGCTTTGTGAATTTTTAAACTTGAATTGAACTTTGAATTGAAAATTCAGAAGTCTACCTCTAATCATACATTTACTTTCGAAAAATAAATATTAAAAATATTATAAATAAGATCATTAATATTTATCTTAACCTTCTATATCTGTGCATTATTTTCAGAATGCTTTGTGAATTTTTGAACTTGAATTGAAAATTCAGAAGTCTACCTCTAATCATACATTTACTTTCGAAAAATAAATATTAAAAATATTATAAATAAGATCATTAATATTTATCTTAACCTTCTATATCTGTGCATTATTTTCAGAATGCATTGTGAATTTTTGAACTTGAATTGAACTTTGAATTGAAAATTCAGAAGTCTACCTCTAATCATACATTTACTTTCGAAAAATAAATATTAAAAATATTATAAATAAGATCATTAATATTTATCTTAACCTTCTATATCTGTGTATTCTTTTCAGAATCCTTTTTTGAATTTTTGAACCAGCTTTGAATTGAAAATTCAGATTTCTACCTCTAATCATAAATATACATACTTTCGAATAATAAATATAATTATATATAATTATATATTCTTTATAGCTGATCTTCTCCGACTTAAAACCAAAAGACTAAGACTAATTTATTGTATACTGCATTAGGCATGATAAAGAAACACATAAAGATATTTATAAGCTGCATAATAGATGTGTTTCAACATTTTACTTAGCTTGTCCGAATAGTTTCCCCATCTGGTGTATGATTATGAATATGATTCAGTATTTTTGTGTAGTTTTAGCTTTGGATTTTTGTGACCGGCTCTCTGCTTATGTCATTTCGACAATATTTGTCAGCACAGCGGAAATCCGAATGCTGTCGGACCATAGACTAATGCAGGAAAAGCCATTAGTCTAATCAAAAAGCTGCAATCCATTTGCAGCCACGCACAGCTGACCAAATACAATTGCCAATTGGCGGCAGCTAGCCACTTTGGCAATGTGCAATTAATTTGGCTGTGACGCGATTTTCTGAGCATGAATTTGCCTTTAAAGCTATAGAAGTAACGACACAACAGCAGCAAAAAGTCAAATGTAACTACTTCGTATAACAACTTGTCTTGTCTTGTTGGGTTTTGCAGCAGTTTTCCTGTCGTGCCATGCACCAAATTGGCCAAAAAGTGAAACTAATTGTTCGTACAAGTGTGGCTAGTGTTGGATCATGGGGCAGCCTAAACCGCCAGAGCTTGTGGCTTTCAGTTCAATGCACTGCCCAAACAACAACGGAAGTTGGCCATACCGCTGCGGCTAACTCTGCAAGTTCAAATCTGTACGACATCGAGGGCCGATTGATACCCACTTTAAATGTAAAAGCTATTTCATTTGTCTCGCTTAATACGATATTTATTTTCGACACCTATACGCTCTCGACTCTCCAAAAATGGAAGAAATAACATAAATATTTGCATAACTTTCAACAATTATAAAAGTATTTCATTTGTAAGGAAAATTATAAATATGTTTCCGGTCTTTTTGCGCCATTAATATAATTATTGTATGTAGTCCCTACAGTCCTAACGAATCTCTCTTCATTCTCCCAGATCCATTGGTCAGTTATGATTAGTTTATTATAATAGTAAAATAAAATAAAGAGGCTATGTATGGTTCGTATTAAGCTTGCTCTGCGTATGGATAAGACAAGTCTATATAAATGCCAAGTTTTGTGTCCATAGCCATGTTTCAAAAGTTCTCTGTCGTCATTCAGATTATAAACATACATACTTGTATGTACCTATGTATAACATGGCGTCTGCTACGCCTTCTTCCGCCTGGTTTATACTACGGGTACAACAATTTATATTATAAAATATTTATATTTTTTGCAATTCTTTGCGTGATATGTCGAGAAATTTGTAATGAATTTTTTCTACATCACTAAATAGCTACACTAATGTTGATAAATTAAGAAAACCCACTATTCAGCCCTCGAGTATAACAGAATAGTCAAAGCAGAAAAGTTAACTGCATTTTGTTGCTTCAACTCTCCAACGGTTTTGACCCAACACTGCTGGCCATGTTTATGGTAAAGAGTCAGCCCGCTCATAAAAAAAAGAAAAGAAAAATAGGAGATACAGTAACTGGAAATTCAAAACCAGCCACTTGGCCTCTGGTGTTGGTTTTGTTGATGACAATGTTGATAATAACTTTTTTCTGTTTTATTTTTGGGGTCAGGCCACATTGTATATTGTCATAGACAAGCCATCGTACAAACGAATTACGACTAAATGCTTCATTTTCTACTCTTTGCCTATAAAATGACGTCAACAGCAACAGCAGACATAAACAGCACATGATCTATGAAGGGGTCTTGGCGAGATTTCAGAGAAAGATTTAGTCAAGTCTAAGCCAACATTTTTACGAACTAATGAACTTGTGATGTACATATGAAGGGCAGGAAATATTGTATTTTGTCAGCGAAATATCTCCGAGCATTCCTTGAATACTGAAAGATCAAAAAACAAATCCTAACACTAAAAAATAACTTTTTTAAGTGAACAAATTTTGTTATCTCAAGAACAACTAGAATTAGAGCCCCAAAATTAAGACCCAAATACTGCCAATTATAAAAAAATTAACTAGAATATACATATGTACCTCAGAAGAGAAAAATTAGGAGTACATACATATTTTGTTATTTTATTTTCTTAGCAGGGAAACTAAGAAAAAATCCATATCTCTCTTAAGCTACAGTTTATATTAACCTCAAAAAAAAGTGTAATAAATCTGCCATTTTAAAAATGATAAATTATCAAGATGTATGTCGTACATAATATATTTAATTAATAATTCTTTCAGTTATAAGAAATTAAAACACTATGGGGGTCTGCCACGCCTCCTTATTCCGTTTCTTACATTCATACAAACTTATAATTAACCTATTACCATTTAGGAACAAAAATAAACAATAAGCTTTTTAGATTACAACTCTTGATATAATATAAAAATATACCGCGCGTAATCGTGATGGCGTTTTTGTGACATACTTGGCGCTTATCTTAATATTCAAAGAAGGATTTTATATAAAAATAAATTTGTATTTTCGAAAACATCCAATTAATGTTACCGATCACACATAAAGGGCATGCAATGTTGATCGATCGAAAAAGAAACTACCAGGTATGCCATTAAGAACTGGAACTGGAAATTAGACAAACGATTGTGAAAATTATTTGATTTAAAGCGACAATTTGAAATGTTGCCGCTGCTGCCGAACATACAAGCACAATAGAACATAAAAATGAAATCCAATCACAATGGAGTCGTGGCTTATGAGGAGCTTTTTGTGACGTCAGGTGAAAGTAGGGATGTAAGTCGAATCTCTTTATCAAAAATCGATGCATGGGCGATGCATCGCAATAAAACATCGAAGCATCGATGTCTTAAAAAATTAACTTTCCATATATATATATATCAAGAGAGACTGTCATAGTATTATACTTAATGTTAATGAAAAAAGTACTCGTAATATTGACTTTTGATTACTTGTATGGCTTACTTAAAAAAACTGATTATATACAGGTTGCAGCTACACCTTTAAAGCATATTAAGCGTAACATTAATACACTTAATGTGTATACGAAAAAAAGATCAAATACAAACTAAAATGTATATTACAAAATACAAATTTTAATGAAAACATCAAATAATTTATAATACAAATATACCTTCTTCGGTATGAATAATGTTCGATGTTTGGACAACATCGATGGATCGACGATGCATCGTTAGCAAAAAACCATTGGAAAACATCGATGCATTGATACATCGATGTTTTTACATCCCTAGGTCGAAGAAGACATCGAATGATTGTAGCCTTGGTCGATCGTGGAGAAATCGGCCGTCTGCTCATCTCTGGCAATTTGTGATGACCTGCATTGCCTCTCCCTGTTGCCGCCCCCTCTTCAACATTTCTTGGTCTGTCATGTCGAAAACGTGCGTGCTGTCAATATTTTGTTAGCTATTTAATGCCATTCTATTCGTTTCGTTTCGATTCGATTCGTTTCGTGGGGCTGCCGGGCATAGCAG